GGGAGAGGGAGCGGGGATCAAATAAAATAAATAGGGAAGAAAGTTCATTAATTAACGACTGTGGAGCAGGATGTGTTCTCACAACATGTCCAGGCTGTGAAACACGAGCATATTTACCTCTGCTTGACACACACACACACACACACACACACACACACACACACACACAGAGTGATGCATGAGGATATTAAGGAGCTGTCACCCTTCAGACGACTCAGCGTGGGACAGACACCTAGCTGTCACTCTGCTCATCACTGAACTGAACACACACACACACACACACACACACACTCATTTATCACGGCTCAATGTGACCTCCGTTTCTCAGGGCGGGGTGGACGATGTCACGGTGATGACACAGAGTTTAAAACGACATCTGTCTGGTGTTTCATTAAGGCCGACTCTGGTGTGAATATCTGAGGCTCGTCCTTGTCGTCCTGCTGTCACACACGGTGTCCGTACGGTGTGACGAAGACGAAGGCGCTGGGACAGTATCACGTTAAAGACCTGCTTTAACTTTGTTTGTGAGGAGGACAAACACGGATCTCTACGTTGTTTCAGTCTCTCTCTCAAACTACATTTCGTACTTTAACCTTTTTTTTTTTTCATTTTCTTTTATTCGATATTACAGTTCGGTGACTGTTTTTCCAGACAGGACTTAAAAACACCGTAATTCACTTAGATAAATCAACAGCCTGTCGACGGTTGTACACCGCCGAGAAAGAAAAAAATACTACCAACGGTGAGTTCCAAGACATCGATAGAAACATGATTATTTGATGGTCATCCAGCAGGACGGGACGTTCTCATCGGCTCTGATTTTCAAAAGCCGAGAGAAAATACAGTCGTTTCACTGTGATCCCAGAGGCAGCAGGTTGTTGTGACGCCTCCGGGGTCTGAGCAAATAATACGCCTCAAAAAACAACAGATCAGACGTCGTCAGGTAAATGTAATAAAGGCAGCATCAGCAGACTGGCTCAGGGTTATCTATGATCGTCCACCCGCTGCTACACTGTCAAACACCCATCATGCCTTTCTACACATCTACAGTTTTTTTTACCCAAATTCAGTGGCGTACCATCAAGGCCTAAACCAGGGGTGTCCATACTTTTTTGGCTTGGGAGCTCCAGTTCACATGACCTGGATAAATAGAGTGGACCCCCGAGATACGAGCTTCCCAAAACACCAGTATTCCATGTTACGAGTCTGTAACTACTGCAAGATTTTGCTCCTGATACGAGGAAACATGGAGTGACCAGTGGTTCAAGTGGCTTTTAGTTCATTTTAAGCGGGAAAATGCAATGGAGATACGAGTGGATCGACATCGGAGTGCTGCTGTGGAACGGATTAGACTGGTATCTGGGGGGGGGGGGCACTGTATATTGAAACTGAGAACTATACAGTATATATTTACTCTTGTTAAGCTGAACACACTTTATAAAAATATCTTGCAGTATAACAGTACTATACACTACAAAATTATATTTATATATATATATTTTATTTTTTATTTCAATTGCTCATGAGCTACCAGCGCTCCTTTAGCAATCCACTGGTAGATCCCGATCTCCTCTGGCCTGAACACTATCAGAACCAGTGACTTAGTTTGTCAATATATTCATCATAAATATTTATAAAATAATACAGAATTTATGTTCTCATCATCGATTCCCCTTCTCAGAATTTCTCTGGTTGCGCTGCTTGTCACGTATAATCAATTTCTTTATTTTGTTTTTTTTTAGCCAATCACGTTTCAACATTATGTGTTGCTAGGTTGAAAGAAATCTGCCCTCAAGACTTCAGAGTCAGTAATGTGGGGGCTCGGAACCTAAAGTCAATGTAGGGTAGTGGATCGTCCTGGTGGGGGCGCCATCGCCACTGTATCGAGTCTCATTGGTTTTACACCATAAGTGATGAAAACAACTCTGTGTGTGTGTGTGTGTGTGTGTGTGTGTACAGATAGCCTGTCACCTCCTGTCAATGTGACCATCAAAGCACTGAAAGCCAACTCAGCTGTGGTGACGTGGGACATCCCGGAGGGAGACTACGTCATCGGCTTCGCCATTACACAGCAGGTAATCAACACACACTCATCAACACCGCACAAAACACACCTGTACTGTGAATGCAGTGATTGTCAACTTGTGGTCTGTGAGCCAAATTCGGTCCAATCTGGCCAATGACAGGGACGTAACGATGAACTGAGCTCAGGGTTTTTTTTTTTTTGTTTAAAATATTTCACGATTTCTTTTAAACCAAACGACACGTCTTTTTAGACAAACCTGTAAACCTCACCAACTGACATGGTCTGTGAACCTTACCAACTGACATGGTCTGTGAACCTCTCCAACTGACATGGTCTGTGAACCTTACCAACTGACATGGTCTGTCAACCTCACCAACTGACATGGTCTGTGAACCTTACCAACTGACATGGTCTGTCAACCTCACCAACTGACATGGTCTGTGAACCTTACCAACTGACATGGTCTGTCAACCTCACCAACTGACATGGTCGTCGAACCTCACCAACTGACATTTCTGTCCAGAAACACTGGACCATCTCCATTGATCTGCTCTGGTTAAACTGGTCAAACTGGTCTGGTCTGGTTGACCTGGTTAACTGTCAATATGTGAAACAACAACAACAGAAGAAGAAGAGAAAAAACAGGAAGTGGAAAGAGTTCCACTGGAGAACACTGTTGGTGTCTGTGGAACCAGTTCTTCCCACGTTCTGTTCCAACCCCTGAACGTCTCTCAGCCTCCATAGGGACCTGACGTCTGGGTTTGATAGCGGGTTTTTAGGAGCATACTGCCACCTACTGGACTGGAGTGGGTAGTATCATGGTCTGACCAGTGAGATAACTTAGCCTACTCCTTAGGCCTTGATGCGCAATTCTTTAAGCAATGTGTCGTTACATCACTAATTCAAGAATAAATCAACTGTAAAAAAAAAAAAACAACAACAACTGAGACTTTAACAACTGTCAGTAACCCACACCAGTGTGCAGCCTCCATGGTGTCTGTGACAACTGGACAGACAAATATAGTTGTTGACCTCCTGCTGTGGTGGACATGTTACATTAAATATAAGCTAACTCACAGCCTGTTAACTTAAACTTAAACTATTACAAAAAATGATAGTCTAACTCTAACTGAAAGAAACTGCAGACGACGTCTGGGGGACGCCTCAGAGGGACACCTCTGGTGGACACCTCTGGTGGACACGTCTTGGGGACGCTTCTGCACTTGACCTTTGAGGTCAAACTCTAAACAAAGTCCCCGTTCTCCTGTCGTGTTAACTTTACTGGTCTCTCTACCGTGTTGTGCAGAAGAAGGATGTGCACATGCTGCGGTTCATCCAGGAAGTCAACACCACCACCCGCTCCTGTGCATTATGGGACCTGGAGGAAGAGACGGACTACATTGTCCATGTTCAGTCCATTAGCATGTCCGGCACCAGCCCGCTGAGTGACGCCCTGCGTTTTCGAACACCCAAGGAGGCAGAGACTCAGGCTTCGAAAAGTAAAGGTGCAGTTGCACACACTCACACACACACACACACACACTCACACACGTTTACCCCACACATCCTCACTGCTTTTCTGTCCTTTCCGAGACACGGGTCCAGTCAATACCCTGACTGATTTTGTTCAAACCCATAAAGATCAATAAACACATAAAGCATGAAATGAAACTTCACAGCAGAGCCGCCCTAACAGCAGCACACAGCTCAGGGATAATAACAGCCGGGGGGGGGCGGGTGAGGAGGAGGGGTGTACTTCAGTGTGACGTCTCACTGGGCCTCACCTCACCTGCACCCAAACACGACCGCGCTCTGAACAAAAAGAGACCAGAGATTTGTCACGTGTAGAGCAGCTCCATCTATTCTTCCTTTGATTTACACTCAGGCCCCCTGGTGGCTGTGGCTGTGCCTGCACCGACCTGAAGCCAAAGAGCTTCTGTCTGACTAATCAATAGAACAATAGGTTGTTTTTTTTCTACTAAATGAAGAATTTTCAGGAACCATAACTATAACTGTACTAGCTTCAGGTATAAAAAAAGAAAAGAGTTGCACCTGTGTCAAACCTAAGGCCCCCAGGGTCAGACATGACCATCAAGTGTTTAACAGGCGTAGAAGTGTTTTATAATAGAGGTCTGGGCTGATGAACAGATGTATTATGAACAAAAACAAGTCCAACACTGCAGGTCAGGAAACATCAACGCACGTAAACGTTCACAAAGAGGAAATTATGTGTGTGTTTTATTTTAGTTTTTCATTTTAAATAACACTGATTATTATTATTATTTTATGTTTATATATTATTATTATTATTACCAATATAAATATGGTAAGAATGGTTAGAAATGCGAAATAATATAATTATAATATTTAGAAATGATTTCTTAATCTGGTCCCCGTTTGTCTTCTGACCCGCAGCAGATGGATTAGCAGGAACTGTTTGAAAAGCACAAACAGAAACAGTCTGCAGGAGATACAGAACATCTGCATCACGCTTCTCCATTTTAAAGTGAGTTTGAGGAAAGAGGAAACACAGTGGAGATAATCTTAAAGTGTTCCTTTGTTCCACAATGTTCTCTGGAAAATAAAACAATAAAACAATAAAAAAAAAAAAAAAACTTCAACAGAAACCATTGCTGACACATTCCACGTATCACAGACTGCAAATAGAAAAATCTAAAGTCTTGGTCTACGAGTTAAAAAATAGACTTTTTGTCTTTCGCTGCACACAAAGTGGAATGTTACAGAGAGAAAATCTGTCAGTTCAGCCGTTAGCCCTTTGTCTCACTACGACAGCGAGGATTTTACTCTCGCTGCTCAGTGCAAAGAGCAAAGGATGATGACGAGGGGCAGATTTTTCCCCGTCTTCACGTTTCCTCTTTCTTAAAAGATTTAAGCTTCAGGAGAGCAAAGATAATGAGAGATGGAAGCAGCACCTCCTGAGATGACCAATCAAACAGTTAGAGGAGGGGGAGCAGCAGGAAGAGGGGAGACGGGTGAAGTCTCACACACTCTCTCACACACACACACAGTGCCGTAAGGAGCGACTCCCATTGGTCTCAAAACTATTTTTTATTTATTGCAAATATTTTGTCTTCATTTGTCCATGTGGCAGTGATAGGCAGAACAATAAAATATTCTTCCACTAGGTGGCTAGGTTGGTGACACAGCCGTTGTCTTCAACGATAATGACAAGCAATACAGGATAGAGGTGGTCGAACCCGTGAGCTGCGGACCTAAGTCCTTAACACAGTTATCAACATGCTTCATATTGACTCCTTCAGACGAGGTGACGATGGAGGAAGTGGGCCAAAGTACTCAGCTGAGGGCGGGGGAGATCGTCATCATTGTGGTGGTTCTCATCATGTGGGCAGGTGAGGACTACACCAAACAAACAAACAAACAAAGCTGCAGTAACTGGTGCCACATCACTGTGGCTAAAGTTTACTTTCTGCCCCCAAGGTGTCATCGCTCTCTTCTGTCGCCAATATGACATCATCAAAGACAACGAGCCCAACAACAACAAGGACAAAGCCAAAAACTCCTCGGAGTGCAGCACCCCTGAACACCCAACAGGGGGACTGTTGCGCAGTAAGGTATAACCCACCCCTACTCTCCTTACCGGACACCCCCCCCCTCAGCAGCACTGGGCAGGTGAATGGTAGCAGTCACTTCTAGACTTCTCTTCATTCATACTAACATCAACTTCACTTTTTTATTTTTCATTCTAAAATTTAGCCCCAAACCTGTGGGTTTTTTATGTTTAGATGCTCGACCACAGGAGAATAAATCCATGAGCCGCAGAAAACGAGATTCAGGATGTTGGGAACAAATGTAGACAGTATTCAGTGGTCAGTGGTCTAATGTCTGAATAGTTGCATGATAAAAGACACAGAATTAGGCCTTACCTAACTGTGCGTGACGATGAGGGTAAGTCAAAAAGACTTAAGACAGACGTAATAATTTATAGGGGTTATAAGAAAATATAGGTACACTGAAACAAATGGTTAAACGATATCTCCATCTCCTGATCCCATATCAATCTCCTCAGTCAGTTATTGATTATTTCCCCCCCCCCCCAGGCTTCCCACAACAAGAAGATGGCGCCTGTGAACATCATTGAGGTGTGATTGCCAGCACATCTTCTCGTTCTTCTAGACTTTGTGTTCGCACAACGAAACGCAGACACACTTTGATGTGGTTGTGAAGATGATGCTGGGACTCTGGGTTCTTCATGTAGCACCTACTCATCCTGGTACTGAGCTGGGTGCAGGAGCTAAGCTGCAGAACTCCAAAGGTCAGATCTGACCGGGTCAGTGCTGTTCTGACAGCAGAGGAAGCAGTGAGGAGTCTGGGCTGGAGGCTGAGTGGCTGCACTGTGGTCTTTGAATACTGCACCGTGATAGGCCAAAAGGCTGTGGCAGGTAACTCCACCCCAGGGACCAACGCCTGATAAAGCCAGAGACATTTCTTTCTTTGTCCCACACACGTCACGCCTTCTATTAGCACTGTCCATCAGAGACTGACCACCCACTGACCTTGACCTTTGGTCACTGCCGTTCCCGACTTCACAACCTACCGTCTTCATAGCAATACCGTTCATATTTTTCATCTTAGCCACAGGTTCGGCATTGTGAAGCCAGTATCCTGGGTCGTCACTTCTCTTCGAAAGATCACTTAATGAATCTCTATCAACTCAACAGCATCCCCGGTGGACAAACCTTTAAATGTCCTGTGGGTTATTCTTTATGGCAAGCTCACATTCCCGTCTCAGGGAATCCAACTCTCACCTGACCCCTTAAGGCCACATTGTCTCAAATCAGCCTAAGAGAATGGATGTCTACGAACCAGAGCTCAACGTCTCAAACCACTACAGTCCCTGTCACCGTTTCATCGTCTCCAGCAGTGTGACGGAAAAAAGTCCTTAACGTTTTATGTTTGAACTTATTTCTGTTGAATTTCCTGAGCTGTTAACATTCCACACTACTGTTGGAGCTCTTCAGTATTTCCTCGTGTCTTCGTTTTTAATTGGGACGGATTTTAGTATTTCTAGGTACGAGGAAAGGAAAACGCCATAATGGGGTGCTTTCATCTCAGTTTCACAGGAGACTGGACATCATGGCTTTCTAAAGAGGTGGGAGGGTGGGATAGATCCATTGTATCAGCAATAATGGTCCTCAGTGAAGTGCAGAAACCAGGACCTGGATCTGTGACTCGGGTGCAAAGTTAGCCTCCAGGCATGGAATGTTTGGACAGATGAAGTAAAGACGGAACACAGGAGAACTGACCGAGAGTCTGTTTTCAGGTTCTTTTCCTCACACTTCAGGAGGGGACAAAAAGTGGTGGAGGGATTTTGTAAAAACTTTGGTTTTTGATCGAAAGCATGAAACAAAACAAAAAAAAGCATATTTTTCTGTCTGTGTCGGCCACTGCGAACAAATGTCATCAGGATCAAGAATTCTTCTCAACTCAGTGTCAACGATTGATTCGGATGTCGTGTTGAAGAGGCTAAACCTGAGGGTATCACCCCCTGGTCGGACGTGTTTGTTTAAAGAGGCAATGTGTTCAAGAGGGCTGATTTAACATTAACAGTACTGCCTTAAAAATACTTAAAGTATACAATACAAGTCTCCATGACGAGATGTAGGAACCGCCACACGTGATATTTGCCGTAAAGACTTTGTTTCTCATTTACACGTGCGTCAAATTCAACAAACAGACGGTGTTGACATTCAGCCTAAAAAGATGAGTGTGATTTTTATTTGACTAATTTAACAGTGTTGTCTTTGATGCCTTTTTAATGACACACTTGATGTAAAGTGGAGGTGGAGGGGCCGGGGGGGCTGCTGGTAGTAAAAATGTAGGTGACTTTTATGTTGTGCACAGCACCTGTTATGTATGTGCTCTTTCATCCTGATATATTCCTATATTTCTATTACATTGTGTTATTAACGTGCAGTACGGACTTTGTTTTTAATGAGAAGTGATTTTAAAAGGTGTCGGACGAATCCACAAATCCTCCAGATATCATGGTTGATGTGGCTGTGAAACGTTTGAACAAGGACGTTACAAACTACTGTTAATTGTGGGATTGAAACTCAAGTCATTTATTGTAAACAGACATTATGTAAATAATGTGCGCAGTCGGGCAGAACAGATTAAAAGTCAAGTGGAGACAAATGAACTGAAGGGTTTGGAACTAATGAACGTTCTGGCAGGTTGAAGTGGTGAACCCCTCCCCTACACCTACCCACCCACAAAACCATGATGAGATTTGGCCAAAGAACCTTTTAAACTGACACACATGGACAACAGAAACAGACCCGTCCCCCCTCTGGAATTACGTCTTTAGATAAGATTTATGCCCTATATTTATTGAATCCATTGATTAACTAAAAATACTGTTTTTAAACATTTACTCATATATAGTATGTAAGAGAAAAGCTTCAGCTTAATACGTGGTATGATCAAATGACAGGTGATTTGAATGTGTTTATTCCTAATATGTTTATTAATTAATGAAGTGTACTTTAGGGATGGAACGACACAATCAACCCACAAGACGATATGATTCATAAATCTTTTTTGTTCACGATACCATTTTATCACAATTTTCTTTAAACAAATTGACATTGTTCTCTTCAACAACAAAAGAGAAAAAAGTCCCATTTCTATCCAGAAACCCTGGAACATCACCATTGATCTGCTCTGATTAAACTGGTCAAACTGGTCTGGTCTGGTTGACCTGGTTAACAACAACAGAAGAAGAAGAGAAAAACAGGAAGTGGAAAGAGTTCCACTGGAGAACACTGTTGGTGTCTGTGGAACCCGTTCTTCCCACGTTCTGTTCCAACACCTGAACGTCTCTCAGCCTACGTAGGGACCTGACGTCTGGGTTTGATAGTGGGTTTTTAGGAGCATACTGCCACCTACTGTACTAGAGTGTGTAGTGTCACGGCACAGTGACTTTTTACTCCTTACACCTTGAAGCACAATCCATTTTTTATTTCAACCAATATGAATTGTCACGCATTTGTATTGATATTTAATTGATTCACAACGCATGCTTACATCTCTACTGCACATTGTGTGATGCGCATTAAATCCAACATGGCTCTCAATCAATATTCCCAAATATAGGCTATTTATCAAAAATATTTAATGATGACTGGAGTGATATATATATGGTTAAAATAACTGTAAAAATGTCAACGATTAACAAAACAAGTATGTGATTTAAAAGTTACCTTTATTTCTCCCTCATTTAACCAAATGCAAATACTGATGCTAAATACTGTCTCACCTACAAATTAATGTACATTACATCATTTTCCACTGTGTATAGAAGGGACCCTTACACATAAGGTGGCGGACTACTGGGGTGCTTACTGGTTATTGGAATATTTAGTAGTTGGCTATTGTCCCAGTTTATTACTGAATTAAATTCCACTTGTGGATGATACATTTGTTACGGAGACACTTTCACTGGGAGTAAAATGAGATCAACAAACACTTTTACATCCTAAGCACAACTTAAACACAGTTTGTAATATGTAAGTAAACAAAACAGCCAGCTAGCCTAGCATGACGACATGAAAGCACCAACAGTATATAGAAAATGAACGTCGCAAATAGGTTGCAAAACACGGCCCTGTTTGAAGCCTTGGATAAGTGAATTAGAAGAAATAAGAGATGTCCAATAATATCAGCCAAAAGATATTATTATTATTATATATCTGTAAGAAGCGTTATCGTTTTTTCTCCGATAATGAGAACATGAAAACCCACTGCCTGGGTTTTGCCAAATATGCTGGAATCGCTCATAGGATCCTGAGACGTTTGCCTGAGTTTTGGGGCCAACGGTTGCTGGGTTGGTATCAGTTGATATCGGAATCAGAAATCAAGTGTTTGGACGATATCAGCCTAACAGATATCGGCAAAAAGTGAAAATATTTGTTTTAAATCAAAGGTTTCAGTAACATGAGAAGCAGCCTGGCTGTTTATTACACCTCACGCTGCTAATCGTGTGTCGTCAGGCAGTGTGCTTTACTGTCAGTTTCTGACTACATTTACAAGAAAAGCTAAACCTAATCATTTAGAACCAAACCTCCTCAGGAAGACTCCCCTGCAGAGGGAGCTCTTTTTGCAACAAGCACTCGTGATTCCTACCAATTTTGCAACGTGAGGGCTATGTCCATTTTTTATATACAGCAAATGATGCTAAGCTACTGTATGGTAACCAGCCACTAAAATAAAGGTAAATGAGTATGACAAAATATCCTTTGTTGTTTTGGAAGCAAAATAACCGCATGTTGATATATTCCTTTGGTGGATGCAGCTTGACTTACACTGTTAATTAGCTGCTAACTGTTTATGAGGTCACCAGTTCAACATAAAAAAATGGGCCAAATAAATCAGACAAATGTCCACAAATGAGAACCAGCAACTCTCCTCAATACAACAGGTCCAAGATACACAGCAGCTGTCAAATGTGTCAAAGAATCTTTCTCTCACCCGGTCTGGTGGAGGGGGCGTGGGTGGGGATGCCATAAGAACAGAGATAAAAAAGAAAATGACCATGGAGTGGCGTAGGAGAGCACTGAACCATAATCTCACCCTGGGCACCCAAACGACTAGAGTAGACTCTGGCGACGACTGTGAGAACTTAACATTCCACTTGAGGCCTGACGTGTCAGGCTACAGCGCCACCACACGTGTTTCAGTATTGCAGACCCAACAGGCCCTCGCGAAACACTAAGTAGTACTAAGAGATGACTTTACGATAAAATACCAGGACAGTAAGACAGACAGGAGATTTTCCAAAATCAGCTAACAGTGTATTTTGTATCAGCCCAGAAATATGGCTGGATTTTTAAGTACAGGACAAAGATCCTTAACGCAGCATGGTTTAGAGAATTGAACTGCTCGACTAGGCTATCATGCATGTGTTCATTGTATGACATGTGCAACAACAATGTGTTCATTGTATGACATGTGCAACAGTTACAGCTTAAAGAGGGCTAGCATGGTTTCACTTTTATGCACAAGGTTACACCAAACTTCTGTTATGAAGAACATAGTGTATTCTTTCTTGTGTATGCCTCAATAAAATATGTTATGTTTTCCAAAAACGGCTGCTTTTTATTTGAAACTTGGCTACAAAATGTTGCCAACAATGTGTCACAATTCCGAGCAGGCATTTACTTTGGTGAATAATAGATGGAACCTGACTATTCACTTGACCTCAGTCGTCAAGAATATTGTTCTAAAAAGTGCACACAGCTACACCTTGCTGTTTTACTGCTGCTGCTCGGGGACCGTGGAGTTTTATTCGAGAAAAAGCATTTATCATTCTGAACTACTCACCAATAACGTGGTTTCACATTGAAAACATTTCAACCATGGCAGCGGTTACAACATTTAAACAGGTTGAACACAGAGAAAGTGCTCCATCTAGAGGTAAACCTACAAAAGTACCTTTCACTCCTGTCACTGTGAACGTATTTGTCCCGGTGAGGACCTTTCAGTTCTGATGACGATGATGATGGTGATGACAGTGATGATGCCAGAAGTTCTACGTTCTTTTACTCCCTGTGTGACATTTGAAGAAGACCAGTTTGACTTTGAATCAGAGCAGATCAATGGTGATGTTCCAGTGTGTCTGGACAGAAATGGGACTTTTTACTATTCTGTTATTGAAGAGAACAATGTCAGTTGGTGAGGTTCACAGACCATGTCAGTTAATGAGGTTCACAGACCATGTCAGTTGATGAGGTTCACAGACCATTACAGTTAATGAGGTTCACAGACCATGTCAGTTGATGAGGTTCACAGACCTTGTCAGTTGATGAGCTGAGTAAAATTGAAGGTACAGGAGGGGAGAGGGGGGAGAGGGGAAAGGAGAAAAGACCAGAAACAGGCAAAATGGACATTGTATATATGAAATTCCAAAGCGTTTTGGGCATGAATGCACATATCTGTATCATGTAATTTATATAAAGAAAATATTTTTTAAAGACTCACCCAGCTTTAAATGTTGGTAAATAAAACTTCATTTCAACTTGATTTCATCAGAGTTCCACTGGGACCAGGACACAAGTCAAAACGCTGTGATTTTATTTATTTATTTTACAGTATGCATTTTCATTCACATTTTATCAAAAATAAAACCTGTGTGATTTACAAATGTGTCTCTCGCTTTGCTTGCTTTTGTTACTATCTCCTAGAGAAAGATATGGAGAGATACAGTGGGGGGGACAAATATTTAACCCAATGCAATGCTTCAACCCAGATCCAAGCAAAAGGCATTACAAAGTCAAAAGTACAAAAGTTCACAAATGACATACATCCGTACATGCCACTGTGATCTTTACATTAACACGCTGTATTATTGCGGAAAAAACCGTATGATATACATTGTCTGGCCAACTTTCAATGTCCGCCCACTTCCACTCAGCTTTGTTGACTTCGTATGGGTCTTTTCCATCGATTATTTTTAACTTGTCCAAGTATCTTACCTTTGTAATTGTGTCTACTGAATCTCTATACAACAATTTCGTCTGATCTCCCACCAGCGATTTATTATTCTTGTCTTTTGTTGTCATTATAGATTGTTTATGTCTACATATTCGCGTATTTTGCTACACAACATGGACGGCGGCGCGATGCATCATGGATAATAACGGATCTCGGAAAACCATCTATTGTAAAGATTTTAACAGACGCTAATTTTTATTGTCGTTAACGTTGACGTTACAGCTTCAATACTGACAGATATGAAAATGAGTTTCCACAACATTTAAGCAGTGGGTACTAGAAAACAAACAGCAAACGTTAGTTTAATTTATGGTATTTAAAAACACATATTTGATAATAACCTAAAAGGTATTTTAGCTTAAGGTGAGCTTAAATGATGGCATAAACTGTATTTAATTACATGTTATATTGTTCGGTTATTTGCGCATGGTCGATACGTTTGGTCAAATGATGTTTCTTTTTTTTTTTTTTTTCGCTTTGCCATATCTTTCTCTAGGAGACATACATTACGTTCAAAAGTATTGTTCTGCTCCGAGCAACATCAAATTCAAAACTGGACTATGACCTGACAAATATGTGTTGCCCATTCTGGCATGGAAGTAAACCCAACATACTATAATGCCCTTTCCCATAATGCTCTGCTCCAACACCAGAGGAAAGAATCCAACGATAATGACTTTAATTATTGACAAAAGAAAGGAAAAAAGTCCCAAAGTGTTTCTCAGAAATCCTGCCTCACTGCTCTCCTCTCTAGGCTCCAAAAATCATGTCTGAATATTAGGCTGAGAACGGTGATTGGTTCTTATCAGGTCACATGGTTTGACTGACTGAGTCTTTGGTGGGTTATACATGCTCACACAGAGAACATTCCTGAAGCTCTGAAGGTTCCTTCTTGTTTCTGGCTCCACTGCATTGACAACATGATCTCCATCAGGTTCAGGACCTCCACCTGTGGAGAGAAGACAACAGACACCAGAGGAGACAGGTCAGTGTCACATCCAGGTCAAAGAGCAGCAGAGACCTGGGTCCAGTCCAGAGCAGAGGAGCAGCAGCTTCATCTGCATTGAAGTTGGACTTGAATGATGAAGATTTCCTCTCACTGTTATCACTTTACTTCACTTTTGACTCTTCATACTTTTACAGTCAGGACTGGAAACAGTTGGTTTGTATCTGCACATTTTTCACAACATGTTCACAAATATCTGTTAACATCTGCACAATGTTTAACTTTGAGGAAGAAAGTGATGTCAGAACAATACTGAGGAGAAGATGACACTTTATACTGACTTCAGATCCTCCAGTCTGTAGTTTGGACTCTTCACTAGATCAGACAGAACCTCCACTGATGAATGAGGAAGGTTGTTCAACCTCAGGTCCAGTTTCCTCAGATGGGAGGGGTTGGACTTCAGAGCTGAGACCAGAGAAGAACAGCTGATCTCTGACAAACTGCACTTCTCCAACCTGAATAAAGAAGAAAAGACAAAGAGAAAAGTAGATTTTCTTGAATTTAGTGGATTATTAAACATTTATTACAGATATTTATTATTGAGCCCCTAAAGGGACATGGGCAGAAGAAACGTATCTCGTGCTCATGAGAAACCTTAGGTTAACCACAGGCAGTTGTGCTTCCTGTGCATATGCTCTTTCTTTTATGACATATAATCCATTATTGTTATTATATATGTCGTGATAAATTTCACGTAATTACATGATAACTTTCATTATTATTGTTATTTTAATTTTTAAACTAAGACAGTTGGAGATCGAGATCAATTCAGTTCAGTTCAAGTCAGATTAGATTCTTCTGGAAACACACTTGACTCAGCAGATTATAAACCAACAAACCAGTGGAGCAGTGGTGGAAAGTCTGTCATTAAATCAGAAAAAGAGTCCATTTTTATTCATGTGAATCCAAAAACACTTTGATCCATTTGAGAGAAGACAGAGTGGAAACAATCAGAGTTTGGAACCAGAATTCATTCATTTATAATCAGTGGTTCATCTGAGTGTGAAGATGAATCAGCTTCACTTTGACATTTACAACAGTAACAGTCAGTGAACTCACCCTCTAAAACAAAAGAAACCAACAGCTGAACACAGGCGGTTATCTTTTAAAGCAGGGATGTCATATATACGGCCCGCGGGCCAAAATCAGCTCACTAAAGTGTTCAGTCTTTTGACTCTTGATGAATTTTGAAAATAAAAAAAATATTCACAACTCATGTTCAGGATATTTTTTAGTAAAATTATATTAAATTAAATGTGAATAAATAATTTATATCTAATATACTTGTAATTCTTTGCTGAAAACAACAGGGAAAAACGGATTTATTGTAATTTATAATTGATGGTGTTATGATTGCACTGGTCCGGGCCAATTGACATCTAATTAGGTTATTTGTGGCCCAAGAACCGAAATTAGTTTGACACCTGCTTTAAACGGACACAAGGAGGAACCAGTCACACAGCTATGTCCCAGTGCTGTATTCTTTGCTAACGAACGCAACAGGAAATGAAGCTGAAGCAATGTACATTATGTTCAAAAGTATTGTTCTGCTCCGAGCAACATCAAGTTCAAAACTGGACTATGACCCGACAAATATGTGTTGCCCATTCTGGCATGGAAGTAAACACAACATACTATAATGCCCTTTCCCATAATGCTCTGCTCCAACACCAGAGGAAA